GCCTTAGACTGGGAATTTGCCATCTCTCTGAGGGGCTCCCGTTCTCCTTAGTGAGGAATAGTATTTAGAAACCAAGATTTGAGTGCCAGCTGACTTTCATTATTACAGTGGTATCATTGCTTCAGGGGCCTTTTAGGGAACAGAACTAGAAAATATGAATATTTTAAAAGTCTAAAGTACATACTGGGGGCCAGCCCCATGGCGTAGTGGTTAAATGCGTGCGCTCTGCTGCTGGCGGCCCAGGTTCAGATCCCGGGCGTGCACTGATGCACCGCTTGTCAGGGCATGCTGTGGCGGCGTCCTATATAAAGTGGAGGAAGATAGGCACAGATGTTAGCCCAGGGCCAGTCTTCCTCAGCAAAAAGAGGAGGATTGGCATGGATGTTAGCTCAGGGCTGATCTTCCTCACAAAAGAAAAAAAAAAATAAAGTACATACTGATGCCTCTGATTCAAATCTACATATTCCTTACCTCCTCCTGTTTTATTTTTGTATCTCCCTTCTCCCAAAGTGAGAACCCTGGTTTCAATTATATCAAATATTTGTTTGCTCCCGTAATGCCGTTGCCTAGTTTTTAAGTGTTTGTTCTCTTTTCATATGATTCACTCCATTCGTTTTCATGATTAGTTATATAAAGATGAGTCTCTAATATAACAGTTTATCCTAGATTTTTCCCGAGTTTCAAACTGGCGTAACTAACTGCATGTAATGAACAACTAATGTCTGTTTGGGTATCCCATATACAACTCAAATTTAATTAATGTTTGATGGATGTCCAAGACTAAACTTCTCATTCTCTCTTCTTTGCTGTATCCTCCGGAAAGGCAGGAACCGTGTTCATCTCGTTCACTGATAAATATCCAATATATAGCATAGTACCCAGCAGGTAGTCAGTGCTCAGTAAATAAATGCCTTTTAGAACAGTTCGTCTTACAATAGTGTGTAGAATGGACTACAGCACAACTCTGTGACTGTACTAAAAACCACTGAATTGTGCACTTTAAAAGGGTGAATTACACGGCATGTGAGTTATATCTCAGTGAAGATGTTGTTTTAAAAAAGGGAAGGGATTAGAGGTGAGATACAGTGGCAGCAAGGAAACAAGGACCTAATGCGAGGGCTGCAGCATGGAGATGGAGCCGCTGCTTCCCTGAGAGCAGTGAGGGTCAGACAGCCTGTAGACACGCCCACAGGACACAATCTATGGACTGAGCTATCTTCTTGAGAGCAGAGCTCTGACTCACGCTGCAAGCCCTGATCCCTAGCATTCCATCCTGGAGGATGATGAAAGGAACCGAGAGCAACGTGGAAGCGCTGGGTACTGGGGTGAAGCACTCAGTGCAAAGAGTGGCTGAGAACTGGGGGGCCCCCAGTGCAGCAACGGCGTCACTTTTTATTCAGTTAGTGTTGGCGGGAGCTCAGTAACTGCACAATTTTCAAACTGAATTTAGAGAGTTTCCAATAATAATAAAAGTTTCTGAAAGTTGCAAATATTGCATATTAAAGCAGTAAGAGAAACCAAGGTTCATGAAGGGCACGTTATTAGAAAACAGGAATTGTAACAATGGAAACTCAATCCTGGCATGTTTAAATGAACAGACCTAGCACTTGACGTCCTGTCCAAATGTCCTCAGAAAATAGGATAGCAGTTTAGGTTGTGTAATAAACCTTACTAACGCAAGCATTTATCATCGATCGTAATTGCACTGTTATGACATTTAGCAAAAAGACGGGGTATAACTTGGGGAAAAATTTCAAGCTTACTCTTCAAGACTCCTCTCTGCATGTCTAAACTGCAAAGCGTGGTGTGCTCATAATCTCGCCCCAGTAATTTAATTTCTGTTGGTCACTGGTCCTTGAGGATTCAGCTTAGATATCATTTCCTCCAGGCTTGACCACCTTCTCAGTCCCCTCATCTCCCCAAAGTGTCTCTCCTGTGTGCTCACAAATTATGACCCTTATTACATTTTGTCATTATTTGCTTGTTTTCCCTCCAGACTGTAAGCTCCTAGGGGGAAGTGTTTTAATTATTATCATTGTATCTTCAGAGTTCGAGTATTGAACTGATGAACACTTTTACATAGATCGGGCCACTTTTAATCAGATGCAGCACTCACCTCATGTCAGATTCTAAGTATTTTGCAAATATTAGCTCATTTAATCCACATAACCCTATGAAACAAGTACTGTTTTAATCTCCATGTTACAGATGATAAAACTGAAAGATTAAGTAACTTGCCCAAGGTCATGCAGCTGGTAAGGGCTGAGCTGGGAGCATAGACTTTGGAGCCAGACAGTTTGCTCCAAAGTCTACGCCCTTAACCACGGCTCTATGCATATAAAACTATCTTCCCTATGTGTGGTTGGTAAAGCAAATTTAATCCTTGCTTAATTTCTCAAGACACTATGCTGGGTCTGTAACAAAGCAGTGGACGAGAAATGCAAAACTTCTAATAAAAGTGCCATTTCCCCACACTGGATTTTCCATTATAGATAGCTAATCAGATGGTATTTAAAAATTTAAAAAATGGTAGTGCATTCTTATCCAACAGCAGTTACGGAAATTTCCCTAATTTTAAATTGCAGCACAAATGATAAAAGGGTTGATGTCACAAGTGTGCAAAGAACTTTTTCAATGAGAAAAAGATAAAAACTCAGTAAAAAGTGGGGAATGCATGGTCAATTATTGTCTCTTCACCAATCAGATAAAGATTAAAGACAAAGTTTTGAGAGAGTAGGGGAAATCGATCTCACACACTTAGTGCAAGTTTACAGTTTTTTGAGAGCAATTTGGCAGTCTATTAAATTTTTAAATGTACATAGTTTGAGTCAATTCCACTTCTTTTTTCCCTCAAAGCCCCAGTAGATAGTTGTATGTCATTGTTGCACATCCTTCTAGTTGCTGCATGTGGGACGCGGCCTCAGCATGGCCAGAGAAGCGGTGCGTCGGTGCGCGCCTGGGATCCGAACCCGGGCTGCCAGTAGCAGGGGCGCGCACTTAGGGCCGCCAGTAGCGGAGCGCGCGCACTTAACCACTAAGCCACAGGGCTGGGAGTTCTACTTCTAATAATTCAGTCTACAGAAGCACTCATACAAGTGTGCAAAGACCTGCCCAAGGATGCCCCTTCATGATCGTTGTGTGACACTTCAGAGCAATGCAGGTGGAGACCTGAAAGCTCTCAGAGAAAAACAAACATCACAAAGGGGCAGAAATAAAAATGGCTTCAAGATGTTCTAAGTCACACGGAGGCAAGAAGACAATGAAACGAGTGCCTTCAGAACTGAAGGAAAACCAATTTCTAACCTAGAATCTATACCCAAGCAAATGATCACTTAAATATCATAGAATGGACATTTTAAGATATCCAAGGTCCTAACAGGTGGGCCTGGAGGAAGTATACCACTAAAATCACGGAGGGAAATGTGTGACCTGGGAAATGAAAAGCCAAGGGAATCCTCAGGATGCAGAGAAAACCCAGGACAGCCGTGCACCCGACAGTACCACCAGTAGAGACTGGAACGCCCACACTCCAGAGACAGACGGAGGGCTGAGAGGCCCCCACTCCCGTTGTCCTCCCTTCTGAACCTGGAAAAGCATGTCACGGGCAGCCTGACAGATTATTTTACTCAGGTGGAGTGTGCTTCAGTTCCTGCCTTTCCTTCTACTATGTTGTCTAGAACATGCAGTTCACCCTCGCAGAAGTGTTCTGCCATCCTGGAAACTGAAGGTGAGCCAAGGTAAGTTTAGAAGCAAGACAAACCCACAGAGCACCCCATCCCTTGCCAACATTCCTGAAACGTATCTGGTCCTTGGGTCACACTACACTGCCCGATGCCTGGCTGCTGGCCAGCTGTTTCTCAACAGCCTCATTCATTGACCCACCCAGAGTGGCTCCTGTAAGATTTCGGGGAAGCTGGAAAATGACCCTGACATCCCGTTCAGTTTATCTTCTCCTGGCAGCCTTCTTCCCGTGGCAGTACTGCTCTTTAGGGTCTGTGCTTGCTAATCAATTTTTATACTACTCACTGTTCATTTTTATGAATATAGTTGTTGGTAAAATAATAAAATATTTGAAGAATTCTAAATTTATGTGTTTAATGGTTTTTAAAAGTCAAGAGTAATTTACATCAGTGTTAAGTAAGAATGAGCTTTACATTTTTTCTATATTTTTATAGTTCTGTAGTCTTTTGGGAATTTATATATTACTGTTGTAATTGAAAAAAGTAAGTTCCCTATTTCAAATAAATACGAAAAAAACTAACATTTTGGCCTGGCCAACTTGTTGCGTGGAATAGCTCTGGCATTCAATCTTAGTGGTTATCTAAATGTGAATTTGGAGTGAATATCAGACTGAAACGCTTCTCGTTTCAGTGCTTGGAAAAGGTATTTCAAAATTTAGAGGGGCCAGCCTGGTCATGCAGTGGTTGGGTTCGGCACGCTCCTGCTTCGGTGGCCCAAGGTTCATGGGTTCGGATCCTGGGCACGGATCTACACTGCTCGTCAAGCCATGCTGTGGCAATGACCCACGTACAAAGTAGAGGAAGACTGGTGTAGATGTTAGCTCAGGGCGAATCTTCCTCAAGCAAAAAGAGGAAGATTGGCAACAGGTGTTAGCACAGTGCAAATCTTCCTCACCAAAAAAAAAAAAAAAAAAAATTATTTAGAGTAAGTCTATGCTGGAATTCTTCATCCTCTATATGAGAAATAGCAAATGACTCTAACAGCATGTTTACTTCATCGTGTTGGCTGTTCTTTGAGGTGCACAAGGACAGAAGCCTGGGCTGAGCTTGTGGCCTGTTGCCTCTTCCTTCCATCCCGACCCCAAAAAGGCTGGGCTTTTCCAGTTTGTTAGGGAACTATCAAGTCAGAAGAGCCTCTTCAATTATCTTCTTGCCAAAAAATTTTAATAGTAGCATGTTAATACTTTTAAATGTTTTAACATCTCATTTTGAAAACTCTTAACTGTTGTTCCTATATAATACAAAAAGACAGTGATTTTCTTATGGTAAGTTGTTTATTATAAGATAATTTACAAATATCTTGCTGTCTTTAGTAATTTAAACAATGGGCCAACAATTTCTTCTGACAGGACAGCAGTAAGCTAAAAACAAAATCAGCCGACTGAATTTTCCTTCTTTACCTGAAAAACAAAGTACAGAACAATTAAAAATCAAACAATATTTATTTGGGAAATAATGATGTCAAGAGAATACGTATTTCAGTGGGGTTTAAAGAACTGACTTTACATAATAAAATGTTACTCTACACTAGTGGTTCTCAAATTTTGGTCTGGGGACCCTTTCACAGGGTCCGTGAGGGCAAAAGTATTTTCATAATAATGTTATTTGCCTGTTTTATTCTCATTCTCAAGAGTAGACGGTGCAGTTTTCCAGAGGCTACATGACGTGCACCATCAGAACACAATGAACACAGAAATAGATGAGAATCTAGCTGTCTTCTGTTAGGTCAGACATGAAGGGGTCCTGAGAACATAAAGTTTGAGAACCACCACTCTTCAACAGTCTATATTTAATATTTCAAAATAACGCCAATTCTCTATCCTAAAAGTTTATTTACTAAATCTAAGGAGAAAAAAAGCCCCCCCGCATTACCCATATGCTCCCACAGTTGGCTGCTGCTATAAATGGGCCTGGCAATCGGAATCTCTGAGAGAGCCAGTTTCACTGGTGCTAGATTAGCTTCAGTTAAAGCTGGCTGGGCTACTTTTCTGAAGGGGTATGGGGGGAGTATGTGAAGTACTACCACTTTACCTCTTGTCTGAGGATGAAATTCGATTTTCATTAGTTCCTGGTTATTGTATTAGAAGAAAAAGACAAACACAAAACAAGCCAGTCAAGAAGCAATCCATGCTAGTTAGTCATGTATAATTTCCAACTAAAAAAGTCCATTTCCTCACCTGTTACCTTGAGTATATCACATAAATTGCTTACCAAAATATTCCTTTAAGACAGATTCAATGATTATTATAAAAAGTTATAGATTTCAATCTGGTTAGAAGCAGTAAAACCATTTTCATGCAAGTAGGCAAGGCTTATGAAAGCATAATTTAAACTACTACTTTTTCTATAAATAGCATACAATATACTTTAAAATTTCAGCAACTAATGGCAACTAATACTTGGCACCTCAAATATCATTGTTTATTCATGCCTTTTATTATTAAACAGCCACAGTGTTTGTATTAAGTCTTTAACCAGAATAACTGATAGGTTACAGAGCATGCAAGTCCATTCCTATAAATAATCCAATTTGGGACTGCACAGCTAACTTTTTATAAAGGATTTAGACTACCTTTCTAGAAAGCAAAAACTAGTCAATTTCCAATTATTTGAATTATCTTTAAATTCTCAGTTTTTATGTCCTAATCTCCCTCTCCTCATTTCTCTTGGTTTTGCTACTTTTTAGTCAGGTTTCCCACATTTCTAACCAAGAAAAAGCCTGATCCTCAATTCTGCAAAAGTTGTATTCTCAGTTTATTTCTAGCATTCCTTTTTCAAGAGCAAAAAAAAAGAACCTTGGTTCTCTGGGTCTCACAGCCCCCTGAACCTTCAGATGCAGTTCTTTCCCCCAGGCCTCCTCACACTTACCATCCAAGAAGAAATCAGCTTAGCACTGGCAGTAGGACATGGAGCAAGGAGGATAATGAATATATGTACTTAATCCTTATATTAGTCACCATGTCAGAGATGACAAAACTGAGTGCAGAGAGAGTGTCTTATGCAAGTTTATCAAGCTGGTCGGGGTGGGGCCACTCATCACTGCACTGACTCTGTGATGTAACAGAGCAGGAGTGACCAGGCTCAGGGATAGGTCAGTCTTAACAAAGTCATGTGCAGAAAGCAAAGTAAGAGAAGGAAGGATACTCAGGATAGCAAAACTGAGGGATCCAACTAACAACCTACGGAATGGTCTCAATCAGTTTTATTTGTGTCTCTCTGGCATTCTGCCCAGTTTCTATCCCTGAGAGACAACATTTAAGGACCAATTTAAATGTCACTTTAGTGATGAATGTTTCCCTGATTCTTAAACATGGACCATGTTTTCACATACCCAAGAGAATGTTATTTCTCCCTCTTCTGAACTCCCAGTTCTTAATATACTAATGGCACGTCATTCATTCACTCAACAAATACTTATGGAGGAAGTATGTGCCAGGTCATGGGGCTACAAAAATGAATGCACGTCATTCATTCACTCAACAAATACTTATGGAGGAAGTATGTGCCAGGTCATGGGGCTACAAAAATGAATAAGACATGGTCCCTCCCATAAAAAGACCATTCCTAATAAAATAGTGTAAGTGCTATCATAAGGGGAAGCACAGGATGCTAAAGAAGGGTACCCCACTCAAACCACGAAGGAGGGCTTCCTGGGAGAAAGGGTCTCCCAGCTCAGTTAGGAGGATAAACAGGACTCAGTCAGATGAAGAGTCAAGGGTGCCAGGGTTACAAATGAATGGCATTTCAGGCAAAATCCCGTGCCCCTCGGGGAAAGTGAAAAGAGTAATGTGGCTGAAGTTCAAGGAGGTGAGAAATGTTAATGGTAGGAGGTTAGACTAGAGCATTGGGGCCAGAAAATACGGACTCACATATATCAAGCTAAGCTGTTTTTTCAGGGTGATTATGTAATAGAGAACGGATTCTATTCTCTTCCCTTAGCACTCTGTCATAAGGATTGGCAAATTTTTTCTGTAAAGGGCCAGATAGTAAATATTTTAGGCTTTGTGGGTCACACACTGTCTCTCTTTTAATAATCCTTTAAAAACGTAAAAAGCTTTCCTAGCTCCAGGCCAGTTTGCTGATCCCCGTTCTACTGCAATTTCTAATACGGTATCTGTCTTCCCTGTTAAGGCCGCGAGCTCTTCGAGAGCCAATACTGTCACCACGACCTCTTCGGTGTCTAGCACAGGGTCTGTCACTTTACAGCCACTCAGAAAGCATCTTTTTTAATTCAGGAGAGACTGACAAGGATCTTCATTGACTGTGCATCAAGGGGAAAGAGTCAAGGGATATTTAGAAGGTAAAATTTATAGAACTTGGTGACCAATTATAGTAGGAGGTGAGAAACGATGAATCAAAGATAACTTACTATACATTTTATCTCTCATCACAATTACCTGCGTACTTTTCTCATGCTATTAGAATGCAATGCCTTGGAGGAAAGGATCGCATCTTTCACACTGTGCCTAGCACCGTACTCTGCACATAGTGGAGTTCACTTTAATAATTTTTTTAAATAGAATTCCCATTATCTTAACCCTGTTTCACAACATTAACATATCTAGACAACCAAGAAATTTTCTTCAGCAAAGAGGTATATTATCTTATGGTACCATACAGAAAATGTAATAATTAAAAAATTCCTGGACCCTACCCATTCAATGATTTATAGATTGATGTAAAACCTAACCCAAAACCAGTCCTGTAACTCACAAAACTTGGTTTATAATGTTTTAAGTTCCAAAGACAAGATTTTATAGTGATACTGAATCATCCTCAGCCTTATTCCTAATGCTTTAGGAAAGTGAAAGCTAGCAATACACTGATTTCTAAAAAGAAGAAACTAAGTCTGAACATTTCAGCTGAGACAATCAGAATGAACCAGAAATCCCATTTTCACCAAATCTTTATATCTTAAGAGTAAGGACACAAGATTAAGCAATGGAACATTTCATCTTTAACAGACAAAACAAAACTAAAAACTTTTAAACATCCAAAGGTTAAGCTAGCAGACATAGCTGAGAAAAAAACTCTGAAGGCAATCTACGATTACTTACAGAGCTGCAGCACCAGAGATGATTTCAATCAACTCTTTTGTGATGACAGCTTGGCGGGTACGATTGAATGTCAAAGTCAATTTGTCAATCATCTCAGCTATAAACCAAACAAAAAGATTAGACAACAAAATCTAAAACTAGAAAAGAATAACTTGTTCATTAACTTATGCATAGATGTAAGTTGCTTAATTTAAAATAAGAGATTGGGGCCGGCCCGGTGGCGCAAGCGGTTAAGTGCGCGCGCTCCGCTGCGGCGGCCCGGGGTTTGCTGGTTCGGATCCCGGGTGCGCACCGACGCACTGCTGGCAAGCCATGCTGTGGCAGCGTCCCATATAAAGTGGAGGAAGATGGGCACGGATGTTAGCCCAGGGCCGTCTTCCTCAGCAAAAAAAGAGGAGGATTGGCGGATGTTAGCACAGGGCTGATCTCCTCACAAAAAAAAAAATAAATAAAAAATAAAATAAGATAAAATAAGAGATTGTTTCTTTTTGGGTATCCAAATTGGTCTCTCAAAAAATTTTATGAAGATATTTTTACATCTTCCATGAGATGCCTTTTCAAAGTCCTCGCAAACTTACTGCCTACCAAGTAAGCTATACTTTCGTTAAGGCAGAGAATATTATTTTTCTATCTTTTCAGATGAGAAAGTTCAAGGAAAGAGATAGTAATTGGTCAAAAATTTTGTAAAATCAGTGCAGAGCCCAGGACAAGGCCCTAGCTCTCTTGCTTCCTGGTCTACTCAGAGAATGTTAATGTCTTTCACGTGAACGTCTTCATGCTCCTCTCAGCAACAGAATTCTCTCCGAAGACATCTACTGTGTGCTTACAGGCATTCTTGCTAGCGTTGTCCATGGCCGTCATCCGGGCACTCTGCTCACTCGTGGTGGATTCCTTTAGAGAATAGTAGATGATGTTGGCCAGACTGTATTCTTGGTAATTCTTCAGCACATCAGCATCAATATCATCGTAGATACTCATGCTCTCTGTTAAAACAAGTGATAAGTTACCCAGCTTAAAGAGTGGTTTAATCCAAAACAGCGTACTAGTAGAAAAATCTTTTATAATCACAGAAATTTAGCAGCACACTTCAAAATTCATTCATTAGGGTAAAGTGGTGAACTAGTACAATATTTCATCAAACTTAAGAGGCTACGGATTATAACCCCTATTTTATGTACCACTGAGAAAAAAAATAACAGCCAATTAAAAATGACATGCCATTGTCTGGGGGAAACTATCCTAATTTCAGAGACATTAAAATGTAAAAAGTGTACATCTTAGAATAGATGAAATACAATATACAAAAGGAGAAAATACCTTACGAAAATAAAATCAGTTCCAGAATATTATTTCTAGGATGCTTCACTGAGCAATGATGACCTTATTCAAACAGTAAAACGAGAATTGAGTGGCTCAATGTAAATTACTTGTGAACGCTGTTCAAATCTCTATTTCAGAGCTTCTGACTGTATTGTGGTTAGGCAGAGTTCCCACACATGGATTGCAAAGCCAAGTTCTAGCTAGGCTCTTGAGTTACTGAGAAAACCTGTCTAATGATGGCCCTCAATGGGTATTTATTTACTTGTTTAATTAATGAAGGAATGGACTAAGAGCCGTCAAACAATGAATGGATTATGATATCATGGAAGCCACTAAGAGATGGTGACAGAAACAGCCCAGCATCCTTTTGCTACTGCTGTAACAGGCCATCCTGACAAACACAAATCTCTTCTTTCTACGTGTAAAAATACTTGTCATACAAAAACGAATTACCAGCACTTGCAACGGTATCAAGCGAAAAGATGGGCTTTTCTTCTGTCTTGTACGAGATGACAGACCTAGAAATGACAAAAGCAAGTGTAAACTTTAAAAAAATAATTTTTAAACTGTTAAGTAGATATTTACTTATTTTAAAATAGGAACATAAACATAAAAAAGCTTTGATTCCTAAATTTTTCTTACTTGAATCGATTAAAGATGATAGATCCTTCATCAAATTCATATCCAGAATTTAATAACTCCAGGGCAATGACTGATGCATCTCCAAAAGTAGGGGGTTTTCTTCCCACTTCTTTGAATGTCACCAGAAACTGGTCAGAGTGAGTCCTACAAGAAAATCGAGAGCTCACATAAAATAGGGTAATGGAATCCTTCTCCCGAAACAGCACAGGGAACAAGGAAAAAAAATTCTCACTGTGGATCAAGTTTTTTTAGGGAGAGGGCAGTGTTCACTGAATTAAGCTGTTCCATAGATTCTTATGATTATTCCTTCTGCACCTGCAAAGAACTGAGGACTGACAGTCAGGCCTTGCTTGTTTTATATTTCTCTCCTTCCAATCCTAATTAACAATCGTTCATTTCCGACATTTCCAGGCTGTGATAGCTCCTCAGAGTCCTCATTTTTTTTCTATTTCAATAACTTCTGATATTCCCATTGCATTCCATCTATGGTTTGGATGAAGGAGAAGCAAAAGACAAGTAGAAAATGGGAAATCTATATTTTCTAATATTTCTTGAAAAAATAAAACGAGAAAACTTCTCTCTTGAGTATAAAACAGGTAACAGAAAGAAAAAGACACCTTGCCTAAATAAACCATCAGAGAAACGTCCATTTACTCATGCTTGCATCCTTTAAACAGAAACACTATATGTTTAAATTACCTTTGAAGTATACCCCTGATTTTATCACCAACTCCAACAATCATAACTTCCTTCCCGGCTGCCGTGAGCGTGGCTACCTCACTCTTCATCTGCTTAGCAACCGAGGAATGAATAGCACCACACAGCCCTCGATCTGAGGACACACCAATAAGGAGGTGTTTTTTCTTGTCTTCAGGCGCCTTAATATCAGCTTTTTCATACAGAGCTTAAAAACAAAACAAAAATAAGAATTTTTTATATGTAATTTATATTAAATACAGCAATAATCTCTAATTTACAAAAGAGTTGGCTGTTTCCAAAATGCTGTATTTAAATTTAGGTGGCGGGCCGGCCCCGTGGCTTAGCGGTTAAGTGCGCGCGCTCCGCTACTGCCAGCCTGGGCATGGATCCCGGGCGTGCACCGACACACTGCTTCTCCGGCCATGCTGAGGCCGCGTCCCACATACAGCAACTAGAAGGATGTGCAGCTATGACATACAACTATCTACTGGGGCTTTGGGGGGAAATAAATAAAGAAATAAAATCTTTAAAAATAAATAAATAAAATAAATAAATTTAGGTGGCACTTGACTGATATAATCAAAAATGTCTGGGTACCTATTCCATATACAATCAGGATGAAAACCATAAAGGTTTAAATTTCTACATGACAAAGGTTCCTAAGGGCCAATTAATGGCCAATTTATCTTAAATACTGAATAAAAGAAATCTCTAGTAAGATTAAAAAACATGTCAAGAGGCCAGAAAGTATAGAGGTACCAATTTATCTAGATATCAGACTTCTAAAGAATGAAAATCTTTAGTATACAACCAAAAAAGTAGGAAGCAATATTTACTGAGCTGCTCATATAATCTGCATATCAAGCTCTAATAAAAACTGTTGAAGTTAAAATAATGATGCCACTTTATTTGGGGATTACTTTAACAACCTCACTTTGTTGGTCTAGTCTTCCAAGAAGCAGAAGCGAACAGGGGATTAAACAAACACGGACTTTACTACGGGAAATGCCTGTGAGAGAAAACAGGAAGGAAGTCAGAAGAGCCATCACACTAGATGCAGGTCTGACCTGGGGAAAGAGGAGGGGAAGAAAGGTTGGGCACCAGGTTCCTGGACCACTGTGCAGTTTAAGGGAAGTTTGGCAAGGCTTCTGGGGAGCCCCAAGTCTCCCCAGAACACGCCTGTCTGAGCATCCAGCCTTTGCTCAGTTGCAGGCTAGCAGCAGCCTGTGGGAAGCACGGCCTGGGTGCAGACGCAGGATGGACTCCAGCAGCTGGTGCTCTCAGCAGTTGCAAAGTGCATCTTCATGGCCACCACATTCACTCATTTCAACAAAATTCCTGCTATTACCTTTTTCAGTATAGAGTAGTGATTCTCAAATTTCAATACCCAAGGTCTTCCCATAAAAAGCTGAGAAGTAAACACTCAACTCCAAAGTTCAGGGAAGTGGGGAGAATATTTCTTTTAAGTCTCTTTTTATGCTTTATATTATACAGCATAAAATGCCTGTTTTAAATATTTAAAATAATTAGCCATTTTCCATCTAGCAATTGGTATTTTTTTTAGTTTGAAGGACTTAGAAGCTGACTGGCAGCCTTGACTTGAATTTTTAATATTTTACCACAAATACTCTAATCAGATATCTAAGCCAATTTCTTCTTTATTAGATAATTCTGTGGTTATAGACTTTTGGAGGGAAACAAATTTATTATACTTATTCATACCAGCAAGAAAGGTGAACAGTGAAATGACTTTCCCTTTTCATGTAAGTAGGCTGGAGAGTAATTTACCAACCAACATCTACTGAGCTACCACCTTGGTGCTTAGTATTGTGCTGGACAGGGAACGGAGCTCATGAGAGCAAATGGCTGGAGCTGATAAGGACTGCTAAAACCTAGCCTAGCAACTCTCCTCTATACCTGTCAGGTGAAACTAAATACAGCATTTTTAAAGCAAGGAGCCATTTCTACTGAGGCCCAGTGCTCTATCATTTTCTTTTTCTTTTTATTTATTTTTTATTTTTTAAATTTTTTTGTGAGGAAGATCAGCCCTGAGCTAACATCCACACTAATCCTCCTCTTTTTGCTGAGGAAGACTGGCTCTGGGCTAACATCTATTGCCAATCCTCCTCCTTTTTTTGCCCAAAGCCCCAGTAGATAGTTGTATGTCACAGTTACACATCCTTCTAGTTGCTGTATGTGGGACGCGGCCTCAGCATGGCTGGAGAAGCAGTGCGTTGGTGTGTGCCCGGGATCCGAACCCCGGCCGCCAGTAGTGGAGCGCACGCACTTAACCGCTAAGCCATGGGGTGGGCCCCACTCTATCATTTTCTCACGCAGAATTCTCTTTAGCAGTATAAACGAATGTTTAAAAAAATATGGAAGAGCACAAGAAAACTATTGCACAAGGCAATTTACATCTAATGCACAGATATATTTATTACACAGAAAATACACAGAAATATTTTCTTCAATTTAGAAATAAGCAAATTTCACCTTCTTTACAGTTGATGTTTAAACATTCCACTCATGTATTCTAGAGTCATATCCCTGACTACTTGGTCAACTCTCCACTGCAGGGCACCACCTCCCCACCCTGCAGTCCTAAAATATCACAGCACAGCCTAACAGGATGAAATCAAGCATTTCAGACTGACGCACTGTTTCGCATTGGAAGTTCTTTTGACACTATATTTAATAACTTGGGAAAATTTCCAGAGTATTTTAGAAGGTGACATAGTCACATACAGCAGTTAATAAACAGGCAGGCTTTGATGCCAAACCATGTAGTATGTGATCCTGGGCAAGTTACTTGCCTTCCCTGTGCTTCAGCTTTTTTCATCTGTGAGGCAGGGGCTCTAACAGCTCCTACCCTCATAGAGCTGCTGTGAAAAAGGAGTACCTGTAAAATATTCTGAAATCGACCTGTCATCACGGTAAGCATTAAATAAAAGCCACTAGTGGTGATCTTCTTTATGTCAACAGTTCTTCGTGACTGGTGAACACTGCCTTTCTCTTACCCAGAGACCCTATTCCATACACGCGGGCTGGTTTCAGCTCCCTCTCAGCTCGGGCATATTTGGCTGCTGCTACCATTTTCATAGACTTGGTAATTTTCTGGATGTTTTTGATCGACTTTAGTCGCCTGGTAACTGAAAAACAGAAGTGCTGCGTTAAGATAAAGGAGTCATATTTTCATTCGTGAATTTATCAAAGTATTTTTCTAAAGTGCAGGGTAGAATACTTAGCACTTAGATCATCAGTGAACGGCACGATGCTAAACTAGGCTTAATGTCAGAATGAGCACTAATAAAGACCAAACCTGTCTCCTACCGAGACAGGACAAGCAAATGGCAACATCAGAAAGCAGTCAATTATGCATTTAAAACATTACATGGTATTGAAAATGGCCTTTAACCACATATTCCGCAACGATGTTTTTATATATATACAAATAGTATCGTTTTTTCTAGTTTTATCATTATCATTCTCCAGACAACAGAATCAGAACAATCATGTGTCACCTCATACTGGTCTTTTCCAAAACAAGTTCAATGTCCCACACATATGACATAGATTCATTCTGTGAATTTGACCAAATATATAATGGGATAAAGAGGCATATCTCTGAAAGTATTTTTGTTTGTCAAAACCTAGTTTTTCTTAATTCACATATTGAGATAAAGTACTTACTATCTTTCAAAGTTGCCATATTTCGAACTTGGATCCTGAGAATAAAGGTTTTAAAAATATTTTAGTTTTTTGAAAAATAGTTCCCTTATACAAGAAAAACTTTCAAAGTTAATGTATTTATTTAAATAATGCTCCATAAAGAAACAATCTATCAAATATAGGACTCAGAATGTATATATATATTTTTAAATTCCTTAATTCTGATACCAAACTCTGTACCAAAGGTCTCGTTTTATCTGACCTAACCCACACAAACCTTCCACTGAAGTCACAATGGCATTCACACACACTCTATTCCTTCCTCAATCTCTTTGCCTATATTGTTTCCATGACAGAAAAGTCCTCCCCCTTGTTAGGCTATCCAACTATACTTAAAATCAAAAGATCAGCCAACTCTAAAAAGCATTCCTTGACTCCCTTTGTTCATCAAAACCTTTTCAGGGGCTGGCCCAGTTGCGTAGTGGTTGGGTTCGTGTGCTCTGCTTCAGTGGCCCCGTGTTCACAGGTTCGGATCCTGGGCATGGACCTACACGCCACTTATCAAGTCACGCTGTGGCAGGCGTCCCACATATAAAGTAGAGGAAGATGGGCACGGATTTTTAGCCCAGGGCCAATCTTCCTCAGCAGAAATAGGAGGACTGGCAACAGATGTTAGCTCAGGGCTAATCTTCCTCACACACACACACACACAAAACCTTTTCAAGTAAAACTCAGGGTCACTTATACATTCTAACGTGACCACATGTGTAAAAGTACAGTTTCTTTAAAGTGAGTCTTAACTTTTCCAACTAAACTCAATAAACGTTGACTAAGCAGCTATATGGTCCAGGACATGGTTTCTGACCACAAAAAGCATACTATTATCTCATAAACAAGATCATGAAAACTTAGATTTACATACAATTTACATTAAATATTTTTCTGGTTTTTAATATTAAAATGCCAATGCAGAAAAGTCAAAATGATTTGATGTAAATGTAATGTTACTGAAAGATAAATACAAGAGGACCCTTGATCTACTGGGGAAGACAACATGTTATCAAATATAAATTATCTTTCAGCCCTAAAATCCATACAAAGTATCTGTGTTGGCCCAGAAAGCTCCATGGAGCACTGAAAAATCAGTAAATTTGTGCATATAGAAGGAGGGCCTAAGGAGGGAACAGGATGTAGTTTTGAAGCTGGTGACGCAGGTTGGGTTAATAAGTTTAAATATTATTTTATAGGTTGTAGGGAAACGATGAATGTTAATAAGCCCACAAATCAGTTTAGATTTTAGTAAAGTATCCCAGATGGCAGTGAAAAGCACAAAATGAAGTTGGAATATTACAAGTATACGAGGCTGGTTCATCATTCAAAAATCAAATAATATAATCCATCATATCAACAGGTTAAAGAAGAAAAATCATATGATCAATACATACAGAAAAAGCATTTGACAAAATCTAACACCCATTCAGGATAAAAATCTCTCAGCAAATTAGAAATGGAGGAGAACTTCCTCAATCTGATAAAGAACTTCTACCAAAAAACCTATCTATGGTTTAATGGTGAGAAACTAGAAGCTTTCTCCCAAAGTTTGGGAACAGAACAAAGCTGTCTTCTCTCACCATTCCTCTTCAACATCATACTGGAAGTCCTAGCCAATGCAACAAGACAAGAAAATGAAATAAAAGGTATACAGATTGGGAGAGAAGAAATAAAAGCTATCTTTGTTCATAGACAACATGATTGTCTATGTAGAAAATCCCAAAGAATCAGCAAAAAAAACTCCTGGAACTAATAACCAATTATAGTAAGGTTATAGGATACAAAGTTAATATATGCAAAAGTCAATTGCTTTATTTATACCAGCTTTGAATAATTGGAGTTTCAAGTTAGAAAAAAAAATACCATGGAATTGTAGACATAAAAATGGTTAAGATGACAAATATTATGTTATGTATATTTTACCACAATAAAAAAAACACATAAGAGGCCAGCTCAGTGGTCTAGCAGTTAAGTTCATGAGTTCTGCTTCAGCAGCCCAGGGTTTGCCGGTTTGGATCCTGGGTGTGGACCTACTCACTGCTCATCAAGCCATACTGAGGCAGCATCCCACATAGAAGAACTAGAAGAACCTACAACTAAGATATACAACTATATAGTGGGGCTTTGGGAAGAAAAAAGAAAAAGTGGAAGATTGGCAACAGATGTTAGCTCAGGGCCAATCTTCTTTTTCTTCAAAAAAAAATCTGTGAATAGGTAATTAAAAAAAAACACACACACAAAAAGACTTACCTATAAATCTAACAAAATATGTACAAGATCTATATGAGGAAAACTACAAAACTAATGAAAGAAATTAAAGACCTAAATAAATGAAGAGAGATTGCATATGCACGGATAGGAAGATTCAATGTTGCTAAGATGTCAATTTTTCCCAACTTGATCTACAGATTCAATACTATTCCAATCAAAATATCCGCAAGTTACTTTGTGGGTATCAATAAACTGATTTTAATGTTTATATGGAAAGGCAAAACACCCAGAATAGCCAACACAATATTGAAGAAGAACAAAGCTAGAGAACTGACATCATCTGATTTCAAGACAGTGTGGTACTGGCAAAAAAATGGACAAGTAGATCAACGGAACACAATAGAGAGCCCAGAAATAGACCCACACAAATACAGTCAACTGATGTTTGATAAAGGAGCAGAGGTAATTAAATGGAGAAAGAATACTCTTTCCTACCAATGGTGCTGGACCACTGAATATCCACGTGCAAAAATATTAACCTAGACAATGATCCTACACGTTTCACAAAAATTAACTCAAAATGAATCAAAGATCTAAATGCAAAACACAAAACTATAAAACTTTTACAAGATACCACAGGAGAAAATCTAGGTGCCTTGAGTTTGGCTATGAGTTTTTAGACAAAACACCAAAAGCATGATCCATGAAAAAAAATTGATAGGTTGAACTTTATTAATTTTAAAAACTTCTGCTCTGCAAAAGACAAAATTAGGAGAATGAAAACACAAGCCACACACCAGGAGAAAATATTTGCAAAACACATATCTGATAATGGACCGTTATCCAAAATATATAAAGAACCCTTAAAATTATCAACAATAAGAGCCCCATGGCTTAGTGGTTAAGTGCGTGCGCTCCGATACTGGCGGCCTGGGTTCGGATCCCGGGCGTGCACCGACGCACCGCTTCTCCGGCCATGGTGAGGCCGTGTCCCACATACAGCAACTAGAAGGATGTGCAGCTATGACATACAACTATCCACTGGGGCTTTGGGGGGGAAAAAAAAGGAGGAGGATTGGCAGTGGATGTTAGCTCAGAGCCAGTCTTCCTCAGCAAAAAGAGGAGGATTAGCATGGATGTTAGCCCAGGGCTGATGTTCCTCACAAAAAAAAAAAAACAAAAAACAAAACAACTCAACAATAAGAAAACAAACACCCCAAATAAAAATGGACAAAAGATCTGAAAACACACCCCACCAAAGAAGATATACAGATATACAGAGAAGCATATAAAAAGATGTTCAGTATCCGTGTCATTAGGGAACTGCAAGTTAAAACAATGCGATATCACTATAAACCTATTAAGAATGATTACAAAATTTTAAAAACTGACAATACCAAATGATGACGATGACATGGAGCACCAGGAACTCGCAGTGATTGCCAGTGGGAATGCAAAATGGTATGGCTACTTTGGAAGACAGTTTGGCAGTTTCTTGCTAACCTAAATAGTTTTAACATATGATCCAGCAATCATGCTCCTAGAAATTTACTCAATTGAGCTGAAAATTATGTCTACACAAAAATCTGCACATGAATGTTTACAGCAGCTTTCTTAAAATTTATTTATTTATTTATTTAGTGTGTGAGGAAGATCAGCCCTGAGCTAACATCTGTGCCAATCCTCCTCTTTTTGCTGAGGAAGACTAGCCCTGAGCTAACATCCGTGCCCACCTACCTCCACTTTATATGGGATGCCTTCACAGGATGGCCTGACAAGCGGTGCGTCGGTGCGTGCCTGGGATCAGAACCTGGGCAGCCAGCAGTGGAGCGTGCGCACTTAACTGCTACGCCAGGGGGCCGGCCCCAGGAGTTTTCTTCATGATTGACAAATAGCGAAAGAAGCCAATCTGAAAAGGCTACATACTGTCTGACTCCAACTATATGACATTCCAGAAAAGACAAACTATAGCAACAGTAAAAATCCCGGCAATCAGTGATTGCCAGGATTTCAGGGAGAGATTGTTTTAGGGCATTGAAACTATTCTCTATGATACTGTAATGGTAGATACATGTCATTATGCATTTGTCAAAACCCATAAACTATACAACCAAAAGAGTGACCTTAATGAAACCATCTACCTTACTTAAAAATGCATCAATACTTGTTCATTAACGGTAGTACACATACCACACTAATACAAGACGTTAACAATTGGGGAAACTGTCCAGAGTGGGTGTGGGTATATCGAACACTCTGTACTATATGTACTATCAATTTTTCTATAAATCTAAAACTATACTAAAAAATAAAGTCTATTAATAACTTAAAAATGTAGCTTATGAAATAATGTTATATGATCCCATTTTTGTGATTACATGTGTTTATGTGCATAAAAATGAGGCTGAAAGGTCATAACCAAAACAGTTATTTTTAATAATCTCTTGACTTACATATCTTACTACTGGTATTACTCAGCCGTAAAGAAAGAAAAATAAGAGGAAGGCGACTACATGGAAAATATTAGGTTTGATTATAAGAATGGATTCACTAAAGGAAAAGATAAAAGATGTCAAATACTGACGAGCTCTGCGATTTCCGAGCACAGACTTATCTGACATAAGGACCATTTTATTAACATTTTTTCAAAACGGCACTTGAAAAGCAACACCATTTTTTGGACGATTTTCTTTTTTTGGCATAATGACTTTTTCACCCCAAAATTTATAGACTATAAGGAGTGACATTCGGACATTATGGTTTTAGGCAGACACTCCGATTTAACTGACACACATTAATATCATATGGAACAAATCTGAATGGCACGCCATAACTGGATGAACCCAGAATGTTTTGGCTTCCGTAAGTGTCCCAAGCAAGAGGTATGAAGTGGGAGGATCTTTTGTGATTCTTTATGCTGTGCACATGCCCTATTTCCCCTGCTTTGAAGCACTCTCATGTTTAACCTTCATTTAGTTCTAAAGATGTCTACCTATGTTACAACTTTACTTTTTAAGTACTATTTGAGTACAAAATGACCATGAGCTGATCCAAACTCTCTTTAGGTATATAGCCTGCTCTACTGAAGATACAATTTTTGCAAATGAAAAGATAAAGAAAGTTCTGAATCAGCTGTATGTTCTGGAAAATTGCATCATGTCCTGAGAAATCCTCAGGAGATTATTTGAAAACTAGAAACGTATCAAATATAGTGCGTGGAAAACCACAGAGATGGTGATTACCATTATCTACTATGATCATACAGCACTGTTAGCAAAAGCTGGAGAAGGCAGTGGAGGAGGGAGTCAGTGAGGTTGCTAGATGAATGATTTATCATCCAAAGAAATTACAGACAGCTTGAAAGAATTTTAAGGAGTGTATAATGTAAGAATTCAGAAAGAAGTAGCATCTGCTAATTCTTCCTTTTCAGTGTATATAGTTCAATTTACGGCCATTGGTCTCCTATTATAAAATAGTTCCACTTTAGAGAATGTGGAACACCAGCAAAAAGAAATGCATTTTCCCCCAATCTGAAGACAGAAAAATCAGACTCTTTTCCCAAATTTCTTATTTCTATTTTCTTAAATGCTACTTTTTAAAAAGGTTTAATTTCCAAAAATTTAGGGTATTTTACTGATACCCTGAACAATTACAATAATTTCACTATGATTTTAATTAAGCCTAATGTTTAGTTAATGTTAATGTGCTAACCTCCCTGAAACAAAAACTGTAACAATAACAAATTGTTTTTAAAAGCACTTTTAAAAGCTTTCAATAACCAAAACACAACCAAGGAAATGCCTCTTTATGGTTCTGTAAAGGCAAAGGTATTTTTCTCCCTTTCCAAATTAATTCTGTGGAGTGTGAAACATTAAGATGGTTTTAATTTCTGAATTTAAAAGGCAATTAAGTGAATGGGAAGCGAAAGGGCAGAAGAAGCGAGCAAGACATCAGACACTCAGAGATGGAATCAGTGAAAATGCTTTCCACAGTGTAACACTGATGTCTGATGAATATTCATAACCTACTCATCTAAAACCAACATTCCAAAGGGATTAAGGTCAGGACTATGACCTTTATTTGCTGATTGATGTTCCAATTTGGGCCCCTAGGAGTAGGTGTGTCAGACTGAGCAAGAGCTCCTATTTAAAACAATTCTTTGTTGAAAGATCTTCAAATTGTCTTACAGGATGTTAAAAAAAGTTATTTCTCAATATTGACAGGTTACGTTAATGCACAGCAAGATGGGAAGGAAGGAAGGAGAGCTGATGTTTGCTGAGCACCACTGCATGCATGCCAGGAACCCTCCTGCAGAGCTCACTAAGACCATGTCCATTCGTCTACCATCACGTTTTGGCACTTTCCACACTGCCAATTTGGTGCAGGGCAGGCACCCAACATAAATGTCTGCTGAGTGATTAAGAAATGGTACACCCTACCATGCAACTAAGATGACTTCTTCATTCCCATGAATACTCTTTTCCGATATTAGAAAAAAAACTCTAACTTGACATCACATTTAATCACCTCATTACTCTGAAAGTCTTGCTGTTATAAATTCCTTGCTTAATGAAAAAACAACCTATTTCAATTAATGCTTTATAGTCCCTTCACAGAAAATAGGATACAAAAATCTAGTTTAGTGCTGTAGCTCCTTAGAATTCTCCCTAACCATAAAACCGGGGAATGGCTACACACAGCCTATAACTAATAATCCCCTTAGCGCTGTGTCTGAAATTCTCCCACACTGTCTAGTTTAGAACATTTCATCCCATTATACGGTATCAGCCACCCACCAACTTTTATCTGCTTATTCCTAGGCCTTCTAATATGCATTTTTTTCCGGGAACCCACGTTTAAAATCTTTAAAAGTGACATGGCAGTTAACAGATGACACTTAAGAGTCCATCTCTCTCCTCCTCGGGGCCTTGGGACAACTTCATGACCTTGCAGGGTTACTCCTTCAGCACACTGGTTTCAAGACAGTGCTAGGTGTCTTTCCTTCCTCTCCAGAAGACAGATTTTTAAGGGATTTTTAAGGTCCCTTTTGCAGCCCACGAGGGCACTTATTTTATTCCCGTGTCCAGCAAAGCGCCTGCTACATCCTCGGCGCTGACCACACGTTCTGGAGGAATCGAGCGGCTCCTGAAGGGTTCCTCCGCTCTGCGCTGGGCCCTTTCAAACTCTGCCCAGCACCGGAGGGTTTCAACGGGCGTCAAGGACATAAGGCACAACCTAACCTTCCCCTAGACCTTGGTCCTCCCCTCCCCCTCACTTCGGGCCCAGGTGAAGACTCCCCATCCTCGCTGCCTGGCACTAAGCACTATTAGCTGAACGAATCCAAGACGGCCCTGAAATTAATTCGGACTAAGGTCTCAACCCCGAGGTCCGGTGACCAGCCCTCGTGGCCCTCACCCCGCCCCCTCTCAGGGACGTGGCGTGACCCCGCTGCCCCTCCAGCCCCTCCGCGCGCCCGGCCCGGGCCCGAGGCGCTTCCGGCAGCCCCGGCCTCCCGGGGCCTCCTCGGGACTGCGGGCCTGGCCGGCCCTGCGACCCCCGTTCCGCCCCACTCACCTCCACCCGCTTCCCCTTCCCCCTGACCGAGCTCTTCCATCCCTCCGGCTCCTACCGCAAGCTGCCATACCATTGCGGCTGCACGGCCCAGGCCGAGAGGCCACCGACGGCCGCCCGAGAGAACATGGTGCTACTGGCCCTGCTGAAGGTCGGTCAGACAGGCCTCACTGCGCATGCGCGGAGGCTTCCCCGCACGCCCCTGGCGCCCCGTTGTCCCCGGCAGTCTCGCTGCCTCCCGCCAGACGGGGGGAAGCCTCGCGAGCGTTGGGGCCCAGCCGTCCGAGGCCCCGCCTCCTTCCGACTCGCGGACGGTATTTGTCCCGCCCACCGCCGCCAGCCCCGTTCCGCTTCCGGTTGGCAGGGCGCTGGGCTCCAGAAAGTTGTTGCTGCGGTGGTCGCGATGGGGAAGTCGGATTTTCTTACCCCTAAGGCCATCGCCAACAGGATCAAGTCCAAGGGGCTTCAGAAGCTGCGCTGGTATTGCCAGATGTGCCAGAAGCAGTGCCGGGACGAGGTAAGTGGGCCCGGCTGGCCCCATGGCGGCGCCCCGTCCTCTCCCAGGAGGGGCCCGCTGATCCAGGCCAAGTCCCTGAGGGGGGGTGAGGGCCAGGGTCCCAGGTCCCCGTCGTGGGGTCTGCACCGGGCGAGTCTGCTGCTCAGCTCAGTAGGGCCATCCTTCCCTGCCGCCCTGGTCCTGGCTGGGAACCAGTGGTCTTTGACACCTCATTCTTCCCCAGTCTACCCCAAAAAGAAATGGAACAAGAAAAGGTTTTGCAGCTCTCTCAGAAGTGATAATACTCAAGCTGTCTTAAAAGGGAGGCGTGAATAATTAAGTGCGGGCTCCGGGGCAGTAACAGTAACAATCATCTCTGACTGGACGTGACTCTGAGAGTTGATTAGGATTCACACCTCTTTTTGGGATCAGATGAAGAAGGAGAACTAAGCTCGTGCACACCCGTCATCTAACAAGCATTTATTGAGCACCTACAGTGTGGCAGGCCCAGAGTATTGTGGTGAAGATGCGGACTTGGGGATCAGACCGTCAGAAGTGTGAAGCCTAGCCGCGCCACTTACTAGCTGTGTGGTCTTGGGCAAGTTACTTACCTTCTCTCTGCTTGTTTACTATTCTGCAAAGTGGGAATAATGACTGTGCCTACTTGTAACTTTGTCGTGAGTTTTAAATGAGTGAATTATGTGTAAAGTGACTCAGGGGGTCTTTGGGCAGATCTTGAGAAGCTTTGTATGCTGTGCTATGGAGTTTACACTTTTTCCCATTTTTAAGGTGGATGGTGAAGCACCTTGAGTAATTGAGAGCAGGCTAGTGATGGGATCGTATTTTTCCCTGGAGATTGAGTTGGGTGGGGGCAGAAGAACGCTGGGCAACCGGAATACTCTAATCCAGTGTGTCTGCAAGTGAGGGATGAGATGTTTTAGGTGGGACTCACATTGAATAACATTGGTACACTTATTCTCTTTCATTTGTCTTTAGTTCTTTCTAGATGAAATTCTCACGCAGAAAACTAGAGACTAGTACAATGAACATCCATGTATCCACTACCCAGGATTTTATCCAATCCCCACTACTTAACATTTTAAGGATTTTGCTGTATTTACTTTTTTCTGAATTATTTTATTTATTTATTTATTTTTTATAAATTTGTTCATTTCCCTTGTTATTTTCTTTTTTTTTTAAGATTTTATTTATTTATTTATTTTCCCCCTAAAGCCCCAGTAGATAGTTGTATGTCATAGCTGCACATCCTTATAGTTGCTGTATGTGGGATGCGGCCTCAGCATGGCTGGAGAAGCAGTGCGTCGGTGTGCGCCCGGGATCCGAACCCCGGGCCGCCAGCAGCGGAGCGCGTGCACTTAACTGCTAAGCCACGGGGCGGCCCTTTCTGAATTATTTTAAAGTAAATTTCAAACATCAGGATATTTCACTTCTAAATACTTAAATATGCTTCCCTAAAATATCAGGGTGTTTTTCTACATAGCCACAATATATGTCATCAGACATTACAAAATTAATAAAAAATCCTTTATATCATCTGATAGACACGCCATATTCATATGTCCTCAGTTGTTCCCCCAAATGCTCTTTAAAGCAGTTTTTTAAAAACAGGATCCAGTCAAAAGCTATGAATTGGATTTGGTTATTAGGACTTTTTAAAAAATAGACTTTATTTATTTACAGCAGTTTTAGGTTCACAGCAAAAATGAGCAGAAGGTACAGAGATTTCCCATACAGACCCTGCCCCCATAGATGTGTACAGCCTCCCCCACCATCAACATCCTGCAGCAAAGTGGGACATTTGTTACAGTCAATGAAGCTACATTGACACCTCCTTATCACCAAAGTCCATAGCTGACATTAGGGTTCACTCTTGGTGTTGTACATTCTATGAGTTTAGACAAATGTATAATGATGCGTATCCACCATTATTGTATCATACAGAGTGGTTTCCCTGTCCTAAAAATCTCTGTGCTCCAGGTTATTAGGACTTTTAATTCTCTCTAAATTATTGGAATAGAACCTACCTCCCCCACCCTCTGCCCCCCTCCCCCTATTTTTTTTCTTGACATTGACTTGGAGGGATGAGGCCAGTCAGTTATCCTGGAGCATTCCCACTTTCTGGATATGTTGAATTGTTTCCTTGTGATTCTCTTTTGCCCTCTTTCTCTAACTCTTGTAGTTTCTATAAACTGGAACTTAGATCTAAAGGCTTGATTAGATTCAGGTTAAATATTTTGGGGAAGAATGCTTCATAGGTGATCCAGTGTATTTCATATTGCATCACATAAGGAAGCCCCTAATGTCTAGTAGTGCTAAGATGATTAAGTAAAGATAACAACCTGTAAAGTAACATTAGAAAGTAGTATTTTCCCTCTTGCAAGAGCAGGAAACTAGTGGGGTAGTACTTTGGAATCATGCCCCTATATCTAATTTCCCATCAACATTTTGCCTATGTGTTTAGCATCCTTTCCTGAGTCACTTATTTCATTAGGAGTTGCAAAGTGGTTACTTTTCTAATTCTTTTGACATTTATTATTGGCGGCCATTCATTTGTAAAAATGAGCTTTTTCTCATCAACTGGGGCTACGGGTTACCCTCAAATGTTATCCCAAAATACGATTCCTGTGGGAAAGGGAAGATAAATGCTTAATTCTTTCCTTTAACTACCAGCTTTCAGAGCAAGGCACTTGTGGTTGCGGCCTGTTTGCCCTCAGATGTATTCATGGCCCTTCCCTACCCAGGAGGGCATCCTGGGGGAAGAGAAGTTGACCCCTATAAATTCTTTCCCCTGTCTTCTATGTCTCAGTATTGGAAGACTGAGGGAGAGAGGAAGGTCAGATCCAGGGTATTCTCCTCCTGCTCATCCACTCCTTTGGATTTCTAGAATTTAATAACATTATTTTGTTTCATTTTATTGACTTATTTTTAATTTATGGAAAATGGGACTGGTTTTTCACTTAGGACACTGGTACCAAGTTTCTTTTTAATATAAGTGTAAGTAAGAGTAATGCACAGGTAGTATACAGATGAGGCGAAAAGAATGTAAGTGGTCTGTGGATGATTAAACATTAGGAAACAAAGCAAGATCCAGTGCTGAAATCTGGACGGTGGCAGTGGGATTGAGCAGAGGGACTGGATAAGGGTTATTAAGAAGGCTGGGTAGACTTAGTGCTGAGGGCAGTGTGGAGGTGCGGAAGAAGGCTTCGAGGATGCTGTCCTCCGCCCTGGCTTGAGTGATTGCATTTGTGATAATGCTGTTCACTGAGGTGGGGAATACAGGAGGAGGGACACATTTTTCATTTCTATTACCAGTGAAGAATCAGGTTGAAATGTTAAGTAGAACAAATACAAGGTCAAAACTTGTATGTTTTTCACAATCATCCGAAGAAGAAGATACAGATTTAGTATGTTTAACCTAAGGTTTATGTAATGTGCAACAATGTATTTTGGATAATGCACTCAAGTAGGGGAAAGTGAGTGAAAAATAGTTTCCTTAATGGAAGTTCACTAATGACCCATTTTACTTCATTATATTCCTCGAAGCACCTGCATAACACTCTGTGTGAAGTAGGGGCTCAATAAGAATTTGTTAAATTGACCAAAAAAATGAAATCTCTTTTCTGTTACTGAGCCCAGTAATGTTTCTCACTAATGTTTCCTTTCTAAAGCACTATTTTTCTGTCTCTTTAATCTCTATGTTATTCTTTGATTAGGAGAGTTGCAAATTCAACTTCATAAAAATTTTTTTAAGAACCATAGAGTGCTTACAGCTAGTGATTTGATTATTGTTATTATTTTTTTTTTTTTACAATTTATCATCAAAGAGCAGCTGTTTAGGGTTTGATTAAGTACTTCTATTTAGGACCCATTATGATGACGTAAATCAGAATTTAACTACTGTCTTTACATTTTTGTAGAATGGCTTTAAGTGTCATTGTATGTCCGAATCTCATCAGAGACAACTATTGCTGGCTTCCGAAAATCCTCAGCAGTTTATGGATTATTTTTCAGAGTAAGTAACTCAAAGACATCCTTATCTCATAAGCTTCATTCAGTTGGATGTTTAATAGATACTTAATATTCTCTGTATTGGAGGCTCTGTTTATTCCTTATGTATTAGCGTGACAGCTACGTTATCTTTGTGCTCAGTTTTTGTCTTCCTTTGACAACTTATTATAGTATGAAATTGTTAAAAAAGTGTTTCTCACAGTTAAGTCTTTCCTTCGTTTCACTTCAAACATACGAAACTATCTTTCATTCTAAAACAACCCCAGCTTAGAGCACAGCTCTAGAGTCTGTGAACTCCAGAAGTCTTTGTTGATCTTGAATCCTTCTAATCCAGCTTCTCCACTCATGAGCTGTGTGACGTCTTTACATTTTCCTGTGCTTTAGTCTCCTCATCTGTAAAATGGACTGACAACATACCCTCTTCCTAGGATGTCTGTGCTTCATGGGGTTTACGTGAAGATTGAATGAGTTAGTACCTTTAAAGTGTTTAGAAAAGTGCCCAGTGCTTGATTAGTATTATTGTTAATTTTATTATTACTGTGTAGTCTTGCTTCTGTCCGTCTCTTTCTTTCTTTCCAAAGTTCTAGGCCTTTTGGTCTTAGGACTCCTTTACCATTATTGAAAATTATTGAAGACCCCAAAGAGCTTTTGTTTATGTGGGTTATATCTATTGATACTCGTAAATTAGAGATTAAAACTGAGAAATTTTTTAAAAATTTATTTATTCATTTAAAATAACATAATAACCCTATTACATGTTAAAATAAATAACATTTTTTAATGAAAAATAACCATCTTTTCCAAAACAAAAAAATAAGAGTGGCATTGCCTTACCTCTTTGCAAATCTCTTCAATGTCTGACTTAATCGAAGACAGTTGGATTCTCTCTTCTGCTTCTGTGTTCATTCTGTTTTGAAGCGTTGTTTTGGTTGAAGCACGTAGAGAAAGCCTGCCTTTACATAGATGTGTAGTGGGAAGGGTGGGAGTATTTTTATAGCCTTTTCACATAATTTTTGATATTTAATACTACATCAAAACACCATGGCATAGTAGTTTCTTAAAAATTAGTTGCAGTGTGGAATCCAAAACCATATCAGCCAACTTTCTGTACTCTATTACATTAAAACCCACTCGATCTTTCACTTTAAATGGATCTTGTACATGTGCATGATTTTGTAACATCATCCGTTGATCATTTGGAGAATATTGGTTCACTGAGGTACGCAGATATTCCGAATGGTGACACGTTTTATTATACAATATCATAAAATCATATTCATTAATGTCAACATCAAGGTTGTCAGAAACATCTTTAAGTATTGGGAAGTATGTCAAAGTTACGGTGGTGGATACTAGTTTACCAAAATTCAAATTTTGCTTAAAAGCTCAAATTTTAGCATTGGCAACCAATACTATCAGTTGTTTTCCTTGACATGACAGGCTCACTTTGTTTATTTTTGAGAAAATATCTACTGAATACTTAATTTGGAATAACCATTGTCTATATGTCTGTCATTCTTTCATGTAAAAATGGTGTTCCATGAAAAAGACAGTTCAGCTCACAGCTCTAACAATTGCACATATGTTTTTGCTCAAGGCAACCGTTGTACGGCAGCAGAAGTGGTTTGTTCATAATCCTTGTTCCATCACACAGGATATTAGAAAGACATGTACTCGAAGGTTGAGATTTAATACGACTAATAATACTGACTGCTTCATCAAGGACATGCTAGGTGAAACTAGCATGGTTTTCACTGCTAGTGCATGGCGGTGAAGAGCACACTGACTGCTAGTGCAGTTTGGCATCACTGCCCACTGCCTTGACCTGGCTAGGATGCTGGCAGGTTTACCCTCCATTGCTTTCGTGCTGTCAAGTCAAGTAACACAGTGAAAAAGGCAGAAATCATTCATCTGTGAACCACCTGACACCAGGCGGTTCAGGCATACCAGAGGGGTACCTATGCCATTCTTTGGGAAATATCCATTCTGGCAAGAGCCATCCACTCTCAGTGCTCCCCTTCCACCTCCCATTCACGCCTCTGTCCACTGTGGCCTGGCTTCTACCCTGTCAGTCTCCGGAAGAGTGACTGTGCCTTTTTCCATCTTCCTCTTCCTGGATCTCTCTAGCAGGTAATGCTCTTAAGTCTCAATGGAAACACCTCTCTGTTTTACTTTCTTTCCTGGTTTTCCTACAATCTCTCCCTCTGTGCTTACTTTCTTCATTACTCCTCTTCCTCCCCCAGCTCCTCAAATGTAGGAAAGTTCTTCTGGCTGCCACTTGGCTTCTCACCCCACTCTACACAGTCCCCACGAATTACATTATTCTTCTAACTGTTGCCTTTTTGTTTGGATGAACATAAACTCCTAAATCTTGCTGTTCATTCCTAACATCTGTCTTGAGTTGTAGATTTTTTTTTTTCTGGGCAATTCTAATCTATATTTCTTTCTTTTTTTTTTTATAATTTTATTTATTTATTTTTCCCCCAAAGCCCCGGTAGATAGTTGTACGTCATAGTTGCACATCCTTCTAGTTGCTGTATGTGGGACGCAGCCTCAGCATGGCGGGAGAAGCTGTGCGTTGGTGAGCGCCCGGGATCCGAACCTGGGCCGCCAGCAGCGGAACGCACGCACTTAACCGCTAAGCCACAGGGCCGGCCCTAATCTATATTTCTGAAGGCTATCTCCAGTCAGCATTTTAAAGCTGAACTCAGTATTTTCTCCACCACCTGCTTGTTTGGCTGTGCTGACTAATAACTACTTGCCCAGACTGCTAAGCGGGATACCTCAGAGTCCTCTGGGAGTTCACTCTTTTTTTTTTTTTTTTAATAATTTTATTTATTTATTTTTTCCCCCAAAGCCCCGGTAGATAGTTGTATGTCATAGCTGCACATCCTTCTAGTTGCTGTATGTGGGGCGCGGCCTCAGCATGGCCGGAGAAGCGGTGCGTCAGTGCGCGACTGGGATCCGAACCTGGGCCGCCAGCAGCGGAGCGCGCGTACTTAACTGCTAAGCCACGGGGCCGGCCCTGGGAGTTCACTCTTGTTGATTCTCTTATTCAGTGTCCTTTAAACTTAGGTCCTTTCCATGCTCACGGCCCTCGTAATAGTTGTCAGCGTCTCTCACCTGAGTTAATTCAGTGACTCCCTCGCTGGCCTCCCAGCCTGCAGCTTCTGCTCTTCTCTGCGTACGTGCCTGTGGTTCACAAACCACTGCCTGCATCAGCACCACCTTGAAAACAGAACGACAGATTCTGATTCAGCAGCTCTGAGATGGGGGTGGAGACCTTGCATTTCTATCAAGTTCCCAGGTGGTGTCGATGCTGCTGGTCTGGGGACCGCACTTTGAGAATTACTGTTATTTACTCTCCACCAGGATTATCTTTCTAAATCACACATTTTCACAAGTTAACTCCTAAATAACTTAATTTGTGCTTTTCCATTGTCTGCATAAAACACAACCTTTTTAGAATGACATTTAAAGTACTTTAAAACTTAGCCCTAACATTATTTTTCAGCTACATCTTCCTCTCATTATTCTCTTCTGCCCCCGCTGTCACCCTCATTTTTATCTGCCCTCAACTTTAGCCAAATTAGATTATCATTTCTCAAACATGTGATGCTTTCATGTCTCTGTGCCAGCTGGTCACGGCCTTCTCTTCCTCCTCAACTGTAAAATCCTATTTATACTTCACCCCCCATATTAAAGATCACCTCTGAGCATCTCTTGTTACAGATTTCTTACATCTCTTTTTCACTTTGAGTTCTGTTCCGATTGATTCTGCTCCATTGTAACCTTGGTCAGGATTTATGTTTTATTCACCTCTGTTTATCTAGCATTTAACACAGTGTCCTCAGTTCAGAGGGACGCATTAAGTGCCAATTTCACGTGGAATAAGCGCAGTTTGTTATCATCGATAGAACGGGGTTATTATTGCCACCATCAGTAGCACCAAGAGACTTCATGAAGGACCCTCTCCAAAGATGTGTAGTCACTTTTGCTCTGGCTGCTTTGCCAAAACAAAAAGTTTCAACTCCATACTGACTTTTAACTTTAATTCTTGAAAGCTATAATCTTTTGGGATTCTTTCCTTGTTCAGTTTTAAAGGTTCCTAATAGATATTCACATAGATGTTTCATAGATCGTTTGGGCATTCAAACTATATGATTTCAGGAAGATGATGCTCTGTATTTGTAGACCTCACCTGAAGGCCTCTCTTCCTTTCTTCATTAGGGAATTCCGAAATGACTTCCTGGAACTTCTCAGGAGGCGCTTTGGTAAGCATATTAAGTGCTGTGCACATGATGACTTCATAACCTTATAATCCGTCCAGGATTCACGGTGTCCTATCTTGTTCCTAGGCACTAAGAGAGTTCACAACAACATCGTCTATAACGAGTATATCAGCCACCGAGAGCACATCCACATGAACGCCACTCAGTGGGAGACTCTGACTGATTTTACCAAGTGGCTGGGCAGGGAAGGTAAGAAGACGACGTTATTTGCATAGTTGTCATGTGGCTCCGTTGCAGGGAGAGAGAATTGTCATATTTTCTGTGGATCATTAGGGCAATTAAAACCTGCTGGAGAGGAGCACCGTCTTCCAGGATTGATTTTGTGTCTTGCAGTTGAATAGGAATGTCTGGAATAGTACTTCTGACAGTGCAAAGATGTATCACTGAAGCGTCCTCTCATTTAGGTTAAGGATTATTACAGTCCTTTTCCATTCCCCCCCTCCATACTCATTTCACTTGAGGAAACTTTTGTTATCCCCTCTTCAGGTGATTTTTTAAATTTAATGCTTTTTTTCATTTTTAATACGATGAAAAGTTTGGGAGAGGAAAAGAGAAAGAAATTTTGTGTCAATGTATTACTTATTCAGTGTGTTACTTTATTCCATTTTAGGGGAATAATTTCTACTTAGTTAAGTTAGCAGGGTATCGTGGACTCGGTGGATGTTAAATACTTAGACACAGTTGAATAATTACCAAGCAAGATAATGCTTCTTTCATATATTGCCCTTGTTTAAATATGTTGCCTCAACCTAGCTAGTTAAAAATCAGAATAATACTTTTTTCTGTTTAAGGAGATAAGATATTCCACTTAAAATATCCAAATTTCACTAACTGTAAATATGGAAAATTCATGTGATGTTTGAATTTGAGTTTGAATGAATGTGTTTGAATGAATGAGTAAATAATGCAGAGATAGAACACGTTTATATTTACTTTTGGCTTTGATTGTTTACAAATTTATGGTGTCTGTTATTTTTTTTCAGGCTTGTGCAAAGTAGATGAGACACCAAAAGGCTGGTATATTCAGTATATAGATAGGGACCCAGAAACTATCCGCCGGCAACTGGAACTAGAGAAAAAGAAGAAGCAGGACCTTGATGATGAAGAAAAAACTGCCAAATTTATTCAAGAACAAGTGAGAAGAGGTCTGGAAGGGAAAGAACAGGTGGGCCACAGCATCATCCAGAGAGGCGATAGAAAAAGGTCTACAGAAGCAAAAGCGCTTGCGTTTTAGACACTGGATTGAGTTTTGTAGGTGTTCTTCCTCAATGAAGAGGAGAAAGAGCATGGCCGAGTGTAGAAGCCTAGGTTTTGGAGTTGAGGCAAACCCAGGGCAATTCCTGACTTACTGACTTGACCATCTTGTATAATTCTCTAATCTTCTGAATTTCAGTTCCCTTATCTCTAAATAGAGGCGATATCTAACGGGGAAGACATAAACAGATCATTTCAACTGACTGTAATTAATGCAGCGCTGGAGGTAAACGCAGCGTGTGGGAACACAGAGCCAGCACTTGCTCCAGCCTGGGGAGGACGTAGAATATTCTCAAGTGGGTACAACCCCTGGACTGAGGAGTCTTGAAGAATTCATGGGGGAGGGAGGGCATGGTGAAGGGGTGGTTCAGGTGTTAGAATAACTAGATCAGTCATTTATTTCAACAAATGTTTATGGGGTGCTTCCTGTGTGCCAGGCACTGGGGATACAGCAGTGGACAAAGGATAAAAAGTCCCTGCCTTTGTGGAGCTTACATACTGAAAGTTGTGTGTGAGCAGGAAAATACAACCTAGTGTGTATGTGAAACTGCTAGCCATTCAGTATTTTTAGGAACTTTTTATTGTGGTATAACGTACATGTAATAAAGTGTATGATGTGCATTAATCTTGAGGTTACAGCTCAATGAACTTTCACATATGTATGTCTTTAGATAGATAGATGTATGTGTCTTTAGATAGATAGATACATAGATAGATAGGTAGATGGATAGATAGATAGATAGACCAAGCATAGATAGCGTGTGTAGCCACCACCCAGATCAAGATATAGAACATTTCCAGTATCCTAGAAGCTTCCCTCAAGCCCATTCCCAATTAATACCCCCTGTCCCCCGAGAAGGAACCACTGTTCTGATGCATCACTATTGATTATTGGTTAGTTTAGTCTGTTCTTGTACTTAGTAGAAATGGAATCATACAGTATGCTCTCTTTGTGTCTGGCTTCTTTAGCTCAAACATAATGTCTTATGTTTAGTTCATCTATGTTCTTTCTTATCGGTGTTTCATTTTTTTAAATTGATGTACAGTATTCCATTTTATGAATATAACACTATTTTTCCATTCTCCTGTTGAGAAACATGTGGCTTGTTTTCAGTTGTGGGCTATTATGGATACAGCTGTTCTGATCATTATTGTACACATCTCAAATAAGCTGTTTAGTAGACTGATGCAGGAAGTAGCAGGCAGTAAGAATTAAGACATCAGTAAGGATCACTTTATGAATCAACTTTTATGCCATGTTAATTGAACTTCTTGATAAGTGAGTGAGTGTGTAAATGTTCTGGTATTACTTACTTTACTGTGTGTATATTCACACAATCTTTTAGGAGTTTTCTACATTAAATTAAAATAGGAACAGTGGTTAAACTGCTGTAATTATAAAATTTAAGATTGAAAGCTTTTTATTCTTGAAATTCTTTCACTTTTTTAAAATTTAAAGCTTTGGGGCCGGCCCTGTGGCTTGGTGGTTAAGTGCGCGCGCTGCGATGCTAGCAGCCCGGGTTCGGATCCCGGGTGCGCATTGAGGCACCACTTCTCTGTCCATCCTGGGGCCGAGTCCCACATACAGCAACTAGAAGGGTGTGCAGCTATGACATACAACTATCTACTGGGGCTTTGGGGGCAAAAGATAAAATAAATAAAATTAAAATTTAAAGCTTTGTTTTCAATAGAGGAAAAATTATAAATTTCCTATTGTGAAAATTAAGAAGGATCACATCTCATGTAGAGGAAAGTAGTTTACTGTTTGGAATAACATTGTTGTTTTGTAACATTTTAGCTTAATACTGCTAAAACCTTCAAGTTGATTTGTACTTTTCAGGTGTAAATAGTATCTTCATCCTAAAAGGCAGGGGAAATTCTGCTGATCAGCACTTCCTCATTCTGCACTTAAATATATCAATTTTTTAAAAGTAAGATCATATTCTTTTGCCTTCCTTTGTGAAATCTTATATGGGCATTACATAAGAAAAGAATATTTTAGCTAGATCTCAAGAACATCTTTTTATTGGTAGAAACAATTAACATTTATCAAACACTTACTATGGCAGGCATATGCTGAGTGTTACCTTTATATTATCATATATAACCTTTATAACAACTCTAAATATGTACATTATCCCTGTTTTAAAGATAAAATAATTGCGACTTCAGGGAGATGGTGAGATTGACCAAGACGACAAAGCTAATAGGTTGCAGAGGTGGATTTTATATGCAGTTTTATTTGAGTTAGACTTGATCATTACACTAAATTATCCCGCAATATAGAAAGGTTTTGCTTTTTAAAGTAATCCTCTAGCTAAGATTCCTAAAGTTTATGCTTTATGTTGTTGTTTCCTGCTTAAATTGTAATAGAAATAAAAATGTAGCTAAACTTCTGCAGTTTGATACAGAAAAGCTACTTTTTTCCACTTCAGGATAATTTTCCATTGGAGAATATTTGCAGTACATATAAGTTCTTAATTAGGATCTTACCCATTTTAGAATTGTATCTTAGAGCTGCCTTGCAACATAGGTAGCAAGTCATAATTTTGGACTGTTGAATATTGATAATAAATTGGTTGTGAACCAAGCTTCCAAACTCTTTTTTTTTTTTTTTTTAGGAAGCCCCTGTTTTTACAGAATTAAGCAGAGAAAATGATGAAGAAAAAGGTAGTTTTACTTTTCTTTCTCCTTTTTTTTAATATGGGTGCTTTTGTATTGGCTCTGCCAAGAACTAGCAGCTGTTTGGGAGCAAGACATGTAATCTGTTGGGGTTGCATTGTTCTCATTGGTAAAATGAAAGGTAATAATGAAGAATTGGATGGGATGCCTTCAGCCACAAGGAACAAGACTGACTAAAATTAGCTTAAAGGATAAGGAAATATCTTGCCACACCAACAGTCCCAGAGGTAAGGTAGTTCTGGATGCTGTACTCTCAGCGGCTGGGCACGAGCTGGCTGCTGGCACTTCCAGCCATCATATGCAGGCCCCGCATTGTCCAGAGGATGACAGAGAGCATCTCTCTCTTCTGGAATCCCCTTTGAGCAAGGAAACTTTCCCTAGAAGACACTTCTGCACCAACAGACTCCCTTTCGAATATCATTGGCTGGACTGTATCAACCTCAAAACAATGTGTCAACCTCAAAAACAATCACTGGAAAGGGAATGGGACTCTTTTGAGTGATTTAGACCAAAAGATCCTTACTAATCCCCCCAAGAGGCCCACCTAATCCCATCACCGTGTGCATTAGGTTTTCAACCTATGAATTTTGGGAGGACACAAACATGGAGACATAGCATCCTCCAAGACGTGTGTGAGAGGTATGGGCACCTAAACAAAATTGGATTCCTATTAGCAAGGGGGGGGGGGCAGTGGAGTGGGGACACAGCCAAGGCTGCCCACTACAGCTTGATCCCCAGCTCTGTAAGCTTCACTTCAGTACATTCTACAGAAATTTATCATCTCTGGGTAGGAGCATCCCAGCTCTCACTTATTCAAGATGTCTGTGAATTTCTATGTGGATACATCGTGGTATCTTATCTGATTATTATAATTTTCCTGAAATATATATAGAATATTAATTCTTTTCTTCCAGTTACATTTAATTTGAATAAAGGAGCATGTAGTTCAGCAGCAACATCTTCCAAATCAAGGTGAGCTACAGGAACAGGTATCTTAGAACTTGAGAATTTTTGTGAAATGCTGATCATTACATTTTAAAAGCTGCAGTATTATGAATTATTTTTTTCTGGTTGTAATTTTCTTCCTTTTTTGTCTTTGTTTGGTGGCTGGTTGTTTTGTCTTCTGTTTTTAGCAACTATTTTTTGCTTATTTGCCTACAATGAAACAATTCTATCTTTTGAAGAAAGGCTCCTTTTGATTAAATGCTTCACATGATAAACATTTGCTTCTTCATGAATCCTTCTCCACTTAAAGGTTCCTTCTGTGCTGCTGCAGTACTATTTATTTTTCTATCATAGCCCACTTATCAAGTTTAAATGTTAGCTGGGGTATATACTTTTTATTTTAGCATTGTATTATAATTTTCTAAGAATAAAGACTGACCTATTCATCTGTCTCCTCAGTGCACAGTACAGTATAAATGCACTAGCAGACACTCAGTAATAATTGCCTTCCCTTCTAGATGGTGTAGTACAGAGCAGGAGTTGACAAACTTTTTCTGTAAAGGGCCGCATAGTAAATATTTTAGACTTTGTTGACCGTATGTCTCTGTCACAACCACTTCACTCTGCTGTTGGAGTAAGAAATCAGCCATCGACAGTATGTAAATGAATGAGCATGGCTGTGTTCCAGAAAAGTCTTATTTATAAAAACAGGCAGCAGGCTGGATTTGGCCCTCAGGCTGCGGTGTGCCCCACCCTGGGAGAGCACGCAGTCCGGCAGTTCTGCCTACTTTGCATGTTCTCTTCCCTTGCAGTACTATGTATTCTTTTACCAAATATTTATTCATTGTTTGTGATGTACAATGCATTCAGTTTAGTTATGGAGGTTAAAAAGATAAATAAGACAAGATATTCAGGAAGGTACCATTATCTACTGGAATTTAGTTTTGAGCTGGGTGATATTTGCTATTTTACTTAGTATTTTACGTGTTGTTTATTTAAAACTTAACTCAGTTTTTTGGGTTAATTTATAGGCTAGTGCTTATTTGCATGAATAAATAAGCGTCTAGGAGATTGAAGGAAATAGGCAGGCAGAGTTAGCAGTGTATCACTGCTTCGGAATGACTTGCCAGGTGTCTTAATTTTGATCAAAATATTTCAGAATTAACACCTACATGTATGACCTGGAAGATAGCTCAAATATATCATAACACACGTGCCATATAGTTTTAGAACTTTATTTATTTCTCTCCATTTTCCTTTATTTTTTGTTATTCGTAAGTGTACGTGAATGTTAAGATTGAACCCAGGGGCCCCCAAATTGATCACCCTTGTATTAGTTTTCTATGGCTGCTGTAATAAATTACCACAAACTAGGTGGCTTGAAACAACAGAAATTTATTCTATCCCTGGAGGCCAGAATTCTGAAATCAGTATCACTGAGCTGAAATCAAGGTGTCTGCAGGGCTGTGCTCCCCCCAGGGTCTCTGGGGGAGAATCCATTCCTCACCGCTTCCGGCTTGCGGTGGCTCTCGCATTCCTTGTTGTGGCTGCACCCCTCCAGTCTTCAAGACCAGCGTCTTCAAATTTCCCTTTGCTCCGTCTTTACGTCGCCTTCTCCTCTGTGTCAAATCCCTCTCGCTTCCCTCTTAAAAGAATGCATGTGGTGCACTTAGGGCCTGGACCCAGATAATCCAGGATAATCTCATTTTAAAATTTTAAAATCTTTAACTTAATCTCATTTGCAAAGACCCTTTTCCCAAATAAGGTAACGTTTCTAGATTCCAAGGATGAGGGCCTGATATCTTTGGGGGTCTGTTATTCAGCCTACTATACCGTATGCCAAGCCATGATATTATTAGTAAAAATTTTAGTTTTATTTAACCAAGTTCTATAAATTCAGTCTAAATTATCTATAATAATGTATAAATAATGTCACAGATAATACGATGGAAAGACTCATTTAAATTTTCTTTTTCCAAGATTATGGTGTATTTTTATAGAGGTTGGGATTTATTTTCCTGTTGATTTATGTCTCTTGTATATCTAAAACCCAGAATGAACTAAGCGATCTAGATATCAAAAATGGATGTTTTAGCCTATGTTGAGGCACAGAGATACATCCTGCTTCCCTATTGCTTGAACAAGGGTTGCTCAGTTCCCACTTTGTTTTCCTTTGGGCTTGCCTATCTCCTTTAATTGCATTAGGATCCACTCCAGTTACCAAAAGCAAAATTCTAGAGCTGTTGTCGAAGTCTTACTTTCCATTTCCAATCTGTTAATGTTCATTTCCTGCCTTGGTTTTGACTCCATCTTGACCCTGTCTCAGTCTCTTCTCTAATAGAATTTTTCTGGGGAGGAGGGGCATTATTGTTACAGCAGTGGGTAACATTAAATATAATACACAGCTGGAAACAAATGGACTATTTTATTTTGATTTTACTTTACTGTTCCTGAGATTGATATTTAATTTCCTTTACTTTTCTATGCTTCTGGTGACATTAAACTCTTAAAATGATTTGCATAGGTTTTCTTTTTCGACTCTTTAAATAGTGTTTTTAAGATAGGGATTATCACTTCCTTGAAAGCTTGGTGAAACTTTTCTGTAAAATATTGTTGTGCTAATGTCTTCTGCAGTTTACTACCAATTCAATTTCTTTATGGTCGTTGGTTTATTCAACTTTTCAATATAATCTCAAGTTAGTTTTGATAATTTATATAATTTTTATTTTTCTAGGATATCTTTTTCATCTAGGCATTCAAATTTATTATCTGTTTTATTAATCTTTTAGACTACTGACTTTTTGTTTTCTTGATTTTATCATTTCTTTGATGTCTGTTTTATTAATTTCTGTCCTTCATACTTTCTTATGTCAACATTCTTTATATTTTTCGTTTATTCATTTTGGCTTTGCTAGGTTCTTGATATTGCAAGCAGAAGGATCTTTCTAAACGTCAAATCTTACCATGTCTTTCTCTTATTAAAGACTCTTGGTGTCTTTAGTCATCATCTGTAAGATAACCTCTAATTGTTTTTATGTGCTATCACAGCCCTTATGATCTGGTATCTCTGCTGCCATCTGTACTCCAGCTACGCTATGCTATTTGCAGTTCCTAAATGTGCCAGCTGTCTCCCCCTTTCTTGCCTTTGCATCTTCTGTTCTTTCTCCCTGGGATGCCCTCCCATATCTGTTCTCCCACTCTATCATGAGATGGGCTATTCTGTTCATCTTTTTATCCCCATTGCTTGTCACCTTATAAACATTTAATAATGCTAAATAAGTTTTCTTGGTAGGAAACTTTTTTCCTATTCATCTTAGTTTTTTAGTATGGTGAAAAATATGTAACATAAAATTTACCATTTTCATCATTTTTAAGTGAACAGTTCATTGGCATAAAGTACATTCACGTTGTGCAACCGTCACCAGTATCCATCTCCAGGATTTTTCATCATCCCAAACTGAAACTCTGTCCCTGTTAAACACTAACTCCCCACTCTCCCTCCCCCAGCCCCTGGTAACCTCTGTTCTACCTTCTATCTCTATGAATTTGACTGCCTCATATGAGTGAACTCGTAGAGTAATTGTCGTTTTGTCTCTGGCTTTTTTTACTTAGCATTATGTCTTCAAGGTTTATCCATGTTGTGGCTGAATAATATCCCGTTGTATGGTTGTATGTATATACCGCATTTTGTTTATCTGTTCATCTATCAATGGACATTTGAGTTGTTTCCACCTTTTGGCTACTGTGAATAATACTATTCTGAACATTGGTGTACAGATATCTGAGTCCCTGCTTTCAATTCCTTTGTTATATATCCAGAAGTAAAATTGCTAGATTGTGTGATAATTTTACATTTAATTTTTTGAAGAACTGCCACAGTATTTTCTACAGCAGCTGCACCATTTTACATTCCCACCAACAGTGCACAAGGGTTCTAATTGCTTCACATCCCCTCCAACACTTGTTATTTTCTGTTTTTGTTTTTTTTAAATAATAGCCATCTTAGTGGACGTGAAGTGTATTTCATGGTGGCTTTGATTAGCATTTCCGTAGTGATTAGTGATGTTAAGCACCTTTTCGTGTGCTTTTTGGCCATTTATATATCTTCTTTGGAGAAATGTCTATTGCCCATTTTTTAATTGGGTAGTTTTTTTTTTTTTTATTTAGTTTAGTTTTAAGAAAAGTATCTAACAGCCTTAAATAAACTCAAATTTCCAAGCCGAGACAAATACCAAAATACTGAAATAAATTATAAATTTATTTGAAGGCTCGCTGTTGATAATATTGGAGGAATCATGGAGAATGTGGGAAAAGTCAGAAAGCAGAAAAATAAGCAAATCTTTTTTAAAAAAGTGGAGAAAAATCTTTAGAAAACAATAGTAGCAAGCTTTTCATACTGATTGCAGTAGGAATTAAGTGGCTTATGAATGTGTGAGGAGGAAGTGGTCATCACTAGACCAAATAGCCACTTAATCCTAACTCCCCTTTTGCTAGGGTTATTAGTGGCTGTATGTAGACATATTGTGGTCAATTGTGACCTGGAATTATTGCTAAATTGGGTGGATTCCTAGCTCAAAGAACATGTAAATCTAAAGAAGGTTTATCTTAAAGAGAAAATTGAAGAGTTTGTCTTTATGTGGACTTAGTCTGTTCACAACCAATGTATATTATTTACAGTTGTCAGAAACCTACGAAATTTGTTCACTAAAAGACTCAGAACTTAAAAATAGGTTCAGAGGATTGAATTATGTGACAAACCCAGTAAGTGAAACTTCGCAAGGGTAAATATAAAGCCTTACAATTAAGCAAAGAGAGAACAACTTCTGTGAAGACAGAGTGGGGGTCCTGAACCACAACCCCCTATGTAGAAGAGACGTGGGGATTTCAGTTGACTGCCAGCTGAATGGGAGTCCTTAAAGTAACCTGGCTGCCAATAAATCTAATGTGACCTTCAAATGCCTTTTTTTAAAAAACAATCCAAATAAGGAAAAATAATAATTCTGTTGTATTTTCTATTAATCACACTTTTTTTCTTCGTTATCTCCATGCTAGCTTTGTGCAAATGTTTATTCTCTGTTTCATCTTTTGTAAATATGGCAAATTAAATAATTAGATTGTTAAGATTTATTTAGTCAGCAAATATTAATTGAACCTCTGTCTTATGTGAGTCACGAGGTAGTTACTACTCCTTTACAGGGAAAAAAATATATGTATATATGGTCCCTCCCCTATTATGAGAGAGGAGTTGTGTATACAAATGATAAATTATACAAAAGATAATAATACAAATGATAATGCCACAAAGTGCTATGGCAGTTCAAAAAACGATAAGATCCAAGAAGCCTCATGAAGAGTGGATCTTCAAGAATTTTAACAAATAAAGATAAATGGAGAGATTATTTTAGGTATAAATGAAGTATATGCAAATTTGCAAAGGCATGAAGCTCAGGGCATGGCTCAGCCAATAGCAAATTGTTCAGAATGGCTTGTGTACATAGCAAGTCAGAGATTGTATTCTGGGGCCAGTGGTGACAATTTTATATCGGCACTAAAACATTTAGAATTTACACCGTCAACTCTAGACAGTCAGGAGCAATCAAAAAGTTTTTAAGTGACAATATATTGAGATGTTTGCTTTAAAAAAATAGAACTTGGGGCTGGCCCAGTGGCTTAGTGGTCAAGTTCGCGTGCTCCACTTCAGCGGCCCGAGGTTCGCAGGTTCGGATCCCAGGTGTGGATGTATGCACCACTTGTCAAGCCATGCTGTGGCAGGCGTCCCACATATAAAGTAGAGGGGGACGGGCACAGATGTTAGCCCAGGGCCAATCTTCCTCAGCAAAACCAGGAGGATTGGCAGTGGACGTTAGCTCAAGGCTAATCTTCCTCACCAAAAGAAAAAAAAATAGAACTGAGAGTAATGTGCTAGACTTCTAGCAGTCATTTTACAAACACTTTATTTAATCCTTGCAGTCAAGTTATGAGTTGGGTCACATTGTTATCCCCAATTATAGATGAGGAACTGAGGCTTAGAAAAGTTAGTTGCTCAAGGTCCCAGCAGAAGAAGCCTCAAACCCTGATCTGCCTAACGCCAGAGAAGAAGCTGTCGTCACTCTGCTGCACTGATTATAGGAGCATCAACTGTGAAAGGGTGAGGGAAAGGGAGGAGGGAGTAAGAGAGGCAGGGTTGCATGTTCTCGTGGTGCTTACCGTCCTATAAGAGATAGAAAGGTCCTGCACTGTCTTGATGAATCTGTTGTAAATTTTTTTTTTTTTTTTTTTTTTTTTAAATTTTTTTTTTTTTTTTTTTTTTTTAAAGATTTTATTTATTTATTTTTCCTCCCAAAGCCCCAGCAGATAGTTGTATGTCATAGCTGCACAACCTTCTAGTTGCTATATGTGGGACGCGGCCTCAGCATGGCCGGAGAAGCGGTGCGTCGGTGCGCGCCCGGGATCCGAACCCGGGCCGCCAGCAGCGGAGCGCGCGCACTTAACCGCTAAGCCACGGGGCCGGCCCAATCTGTTGTAAATTAATCGTGTAACGAATTTCTTCTGTATTGTTCATTTTGCACGTTATAAAGCCTTTGTCTGTGCATAGGTTTTGTTAACAAGCACAGTTCCTCTTTTCATCAGTTCTTTGGGACCAAGTGCGTTGAAAACAATAGGAAACGCAGCTTCAGTGAAACGAAAAGAATCTTCCCAGAGCTCAGCTCAATCAAAAGAAAAGAAGAAGAAGAAATCTGCCCTCGATGAAATCATGGAGGTACAGTGTCCGACCTGCATGTCGACTCTAGCAATGAGTGGAATGATGCAGTTCAAGCCGAAGGAAGTTGAAAAGTTTCACCAGTTATTAGATGAACACGAAGTTAGAAAAATGTGTATATACTAGGTTAGGGAAAAGGAGCCTAGATGCAGTTCCATCTGAATACAGTTAGAGGTCCCCCACCCCCGCAACTGCATATATTTTCTTGCCTCAAGTGCTGTCTTTAAAACTCTCCATGCAGTGATGGTCAGTAGAGTTCAATTAGAAGGACATCAGTGGTAAAAATTGAAGCTAGAAATGCAAGCTCTGTTCCCCTCTGTGGCTCTGTGAAATTGGCATCTTCCGTGGACCCCATACCACGACCACCAACCTGTGGCCTCCGCTTAACACCTCCTAGCCAGCAAGAGAAAGCTGTGACATGTTTTTAGTTCGATTTGACCTGATGGCTAAGTTTATGTGAGTGATCGTTGAAAACTTATGATCATCTGGATCTAAGGCTGTACTTTGGCTCTAAATCTACCTGAAACTCTGGAGCAGTTCTGCAGAAGGTTCTTGGTGTACTCCTAAATATTCCTTTCTCCCTTCTGACACATAGCCTTACCTTGTCAATGAATTTAGGAAGTCAGTGGAAGAGAAGAGGAAGGACAGGCAATGAGATAGAATGAATGGATACGGAAGCTATAGAATGAATGGATATGGGAGCTATAGAATGAATGGATACAGAAGCTATAGAATGAATGGATACAGGAGCTATAGAATGAATGGATACGGGAGCTACCTTTTCCCCTGTAATATCACTTCCTCTGGCCTCCCCGTCCCTCTTCTTCATTTGTGAAGGGAGAAGTAGTAGCTTTTGTTTCCCTGTTACTGAGTCCTCACGCAATGTGGGGCGGTCTGGAATGCCTGAAGTACACTATGAGAGATGTACACTGTGAGATGCGGTCATCCCATCATTCAGCAGCTGTTGAGTCACTCTTATGTGCTGGGCATTGTGTGAGTCCTGGGTCTGTAGAGTAGGGAGTAAAACACAGTCCCTGTGTGTCATGGAGCGTTCATTCTGGCCAGGGAGACATTCCGTGGACAAGTGAACCAGTAAGTAAGTGATTACAAGATGCTGGGTGCTGAGGAGGTCTGAGGGCTGGGAGTGGGGAGATCGCTTGCGAGAAGGTGCTAAGGCAGGGAGATCTCTAGTTCAAGCATCCGAAGGGAAGATCCATATGGCTGGAGCATGGTGAGCATAAGAGTGGTTGCATTTGAGGTTAGAGAGAGAAGTAGGGCAACACCACGGAGGTCTTATAGGCCATGACAGGGAGTCTTTGAATTTAATTCATAGTAAAATGGAAAGCCAGATCCACCTGCTTTGGATATAATACGTACTAAATTTAGAATGTTCTTTGTTCATATTGGAAAGTTGGAGGAATTAAAATGAGGTTTAGAATCGACGAAAAATTACATCGAGTCCCATTGAAAGTTGGTACCTCTGGTTAACTAAGCAGTTGAGAAAGAAAGGCATGCTCTACGGCCATAATGGCCAGTCAGCTGTTTTTTCTTTTGGTACCCTCTTATTTACAACTTTATTATCTTTATCAAACAGGAAGCTCCTTTTTCCATCAGACTGTGTACCTAGCCATGCTGTGCTAAATTGATTTGTAAGTGTTGTGTTTTTACCACATGAAAACATTGCCCCTTTTTCTGGCTCAGTAGAGTCACAGGGGAGGAAGCAGGAGAGGGCAGTGTAGTGCTGCTGGATGGCCTTGCAGTACTGACTAGACAGAGGTTGTCTGTGTTTAGTTTCTTCGTCAGTTGACTTGCTGTATCACATATTTTTTTAAATCCAAGTTTTTTTTTTTAATGAGGAAATTAGCCCTGAGCTAACATTCGATGCCAATCATCCTTTTTTTGCTGAGGAAGAGTGGCCGTGGGCTAACATCCATGCCCATCTTCCTCTACTTTATATGGGATGCCACCACAGCATGGCTTGACAAGTGGTGCATCTGTGCGCGCCCGGGATCCAAACCTGTGAACCCCGGGCTGCCGAAGCAGAGCGCCCACACTTAACGACTATACCACCGGGCCCGCCCCCAGGTTGTTTTTTAAATCAAAAACTAATTGCAAAAAATGTTTATTTGTATTTATCAGAGCTTGCAAATTATATCATTGATCTTCTGTGAAGAATGCGTTTTATGGTTTTCTTTAGTTAAATAGAAGGGTATTTGAAATAAATTGAGGATTTTAAAGAGGTAATTTTATGACTGTCTTGTGTGTTCTATAGATCGAAGAGGAAAAGAAAAGAGCTGCCCGCACAGACTACTGGCTACAGCCTGTAGGTACTCAGTTGGAGCTTCTTAAGTCCTAAGTGTACTTTTAAGTGAATGATTTAAATGGCATTTCGTATAAGTGACTGAATTTCTCAAATATATGTAAATTATATAGATAAATTGATAACTTTAATGACTTTTCTTTCTATCTGATCTTTAAGTATTGGTTGCCACCTGTATTGGAGAGTTACTTCATGTTTATAAAGCAGTAATGTTCCTGGAGTTCAGAGCTAAATTTGTTTATGGACACCTTGAATTTAAGCCTGGAATTATTTTCAGTTTTTGCTGTAAGACAAAGGGTTGTGTTTTCAGAAATGGGATTGAAAGGTAGAATTGTAGATGCAGAAGTATTTGTTTTCAGCTTATAACTTATTGAACTTAGAATAGCCGTTTAGGTACTTTGTCAAAAGAAGCAGGTTTTAATTTTACGAACTCAAGGAAAGCTTTGCATTTTATTACATATTTATTATTGCTTATTATTTTAAGATAATAATTTTCAAA